CGATGAAAGGATCCGGTAAGGTTTTATCGGATTCTGCAACGAAAGTTAACAAATCCGACAGGATTCAATCGGATTTTAATCATTAGACTTCAGTGGTTGTTCTCTTTCCGATTCACTATCATCTATTAAATATATAATAAATATTAAGATTTTTGTCTACAATGGTAAAAAATCCATTGTCTGCTCCTCTTATCATCTGACTGAGAAAGTAAACACGAGAGAAAAACAGATATAGTCACTAAACACAGTGGAAAGATATTAATAATCCGTAAAATATAACCTTACATCCATACCCTAGTACATATACCATTATGCCTATATTCTTACACCTATACTTTTATACCTATATCCTTATATCTATACCCTTATATCTATATTCTTAAACCTATATCCTTATACCTATATTCTTATCCGTATATCCCTATGCCTATATCCTTATACCTATACCCTTATGCCTATATTCTTGCACCTATATCCCTATGCCTATACCCTTACACCTTTACCTTATACATATACATTTACACCTATACCCTTATTCCTATACCCTTGCAACAATACTATTATGCCTATATCCTTATACCTATATTCCTATACCCATACTCTTACACCCATACTCCATATGTCTATATCCTTGTCACTATAATCTTCAACTGACAGGGCGATGGTTATAATCTGAGTCCTGTACGCCTATGGATTAAGATAAAAGTTTTAGTACTTGATAGAAATACTTTTTCTTCTCTGTTATTATAAACTCTTGAATTTTCTAAGTAGGATAGAAAAATATTTTGTAGATAACTGAATAGGATCCTAAATGTTCATAGGCGCAGCACTAGCTTAAGGAAAATGATATAGCCCATACTATAGAGAAGACTCTGTTCATATGACCGAAAAATACATAGTATTGAAGACTTGCACGAAGACATGGAAAAAGAGTGGAAATGAAGAAAATGGAATGAGAAAACATTGGCAGAGTACAGTTGAATTAATTATGCCAAAAGGTTAATTAGATATCTGTAATATGCTGGTGGAAAGGTGGTCATCTCTAATTGGTTGTATAAAAGCATGATTGTTACTGATTATCGGTCTTTCATTTCAATGAATTTTCTCATATGGAAGACACTCAATTTGTAATGGTGCGGAAGCTGGATGAATTCGATGCTGTGAAACATTATAGTGTGTTATTAATAGTGAAGGTGCTTCAACCAATAGAAAACGACTATAACAAGAGGAAAACATAAATTACTGTAGTGTTTGATATTTTATTTTTGATAAAAGCTTACTATTCTAGATATTTCCATATATATTAGAAATTCTATTGGCCACACAAAAAGAGCTTCTCTAGAGTACCAGTTATATGCCTTCCCTGCTGATGGACATAGTTTTGAAAATTTAGGATGTTATTCGTGTGGTTGTAAAATATTTGATATCACAGTTAGAGCCTCTTCAGATCTGTAATAAAAGAGAAGAAGACATTTTTTAGCAAGTACCTACGCTTTTGTCTTACTCTGTAACTAACACGAGAGAACATCAACTCTCAGTCGAAAGCAAAACGAATAAAAAGAAGCTTGCCATATAATTAATAAGCGGCAGAGAAGAACTGTTGCCAAATAATTTTGATGCCTCAGACAAAGCACACGTGTACAAATAATAGGAGCATACCATAATGAAAAGAGACCACTGATCACTATTCTATACATTGATACAGTTAAAATATTATGATATGAGAAATTCTTTTTGCCTAAATAACTCTTGCTGATGTACACTGCTCATATCGAAAGTATTTGATACCTATTTATTACTAATTGAGCGTTTAAGTCTTGTACTCAGTTAAATGTTTATAATACTAATCTCGTGCAATACTCTAATCGATTTGGTGCTTTCATTCTTATTGCAGTAGCGAGATAAATATTAATTATGAGAAATCATCAAGTTTTATTTGCAAAATAGTACTTCAGTAATCATTTTGTAATAATGTTTCTTCATTCTGCTCATTCATCAGCATGCCTGAGCTCATTTTTTTCGTTAGAATCTAAAAAGCATTCCATTAGTAATCAATTTATATGCAAAACATATGTTCCACTGCAACTCGACGACTTACTTCTCCGAACTTGATGGAACCGACTGGATCCCGACAAATGAATTCTATCGGATCCGTCCTTTGGATTTCATCGGGATCCGGTAATCGGAATATGTCGGAAATTATGGGAATCAATTGAGATCCGATCGGATTCAGTCATCGGAATTCATCGGATTGAGACAAATCCGACAGAATCCGATGGCTTACTTTCGACCTGGGCTGTAGAACCGATCGTGTTAAATATATCGGTCAACGTATCCTTGTCAATAATACCAATTCAATCATTTCCACTAGCGCTGCTATTATTATTTCTACCAGTAGTACCCAAGCATAGACCCACGTGGCAACCACTACCACTAAAAACTGATTCCGTTTCACAGTAACCCTTTTGGCATAGACATTCAGCTAAATCAAGACAGATGAAATATTTAAGAGACTCTCGAATCGGTGCTATTCAGCTTTTATCCTCCATAAATTACGTAAGCTCAAAAATAACATACCTGAACAAGAATCCATTCTAAAAGATNGGACTAGAAATATATATAGTAAAGCTCGTTGTTGATAATTGTTTACATTGTAGGAATGACTGTTTTTGGTCTCAAACAACTTTGACAGATGAAGATGGTGAACTAGACTATGCAGAAAGAGTATATATTCAAAATATGTGATTAAAATGGAAAAAAAATAAATAGTGTAATCTTATGACCAACATATTACAGAGTATCACATATTGATATCAACGAACATCTAATTCTTATATACTGTGTTCTTCTAATTTATGTCGTCTTTGCTACGTTGCCTTAATGTTCGAAGAGATATTGATTTGTTGTCTTTTCAACAGTTTGGTGGTCCAAGACTCCTCTCTGAAGAAGCAACATTAACAATAATCACAATGGTAAATGTATAAATGCATGTAGTGGCTAACGATAGTATTTAAAAAGACGGTTTCAAAACATTGTAAGGATCCTTAGAATACCCATGCAATATAGCAAACACGACATAAATTAGAAGAATACAGTGTATAAGAATTAGATGTTCGTTGATATCAATATGTGATACTCTGTAATATGTTGGTCATAAGATTACACTATTTATTTTTTTTTCCATTTTAATCACATATTTTGAATATATACTCTTTCTGCATAGTCTAGTTCACCATCTTCATCTGTCAAAGTTGTTTGAGACCAAAAACAGTCATTCCTACAATGTAAACAATTATCAACAACGAGCTTTACTATATATATTTCTAGTCCATCCTATTGAAAAAAATTACTTGTATAGTCTTCAGGAAAATGTGTGACATTTTTGAACTATAATAGCTAGAGAGGTCGGCCTTTCGCCATTTCGTAGAGGATCCTCTGGGCTATCTTTTACATATTTAAAACCGACCAGTCACTATAAGACTTAAGGCAACCACGTTCACATTTTTCAAAGATTGATAATGGACATTACTTGAAAAGTCGATGTTTTTCATCTTCTCTTAGTCGATCGATAGAGGACTCCAAGCTCTACGCAATGGTGAAAACCGCAGGTTTATATCTCTTTTTGTTCTCGAGTTTTTCAAAAAATAGTCACACGCACGGACTTTTTGGATGGACTATAGTTTGCTTTTGTTTAATTATTAGTGTTATGTTTAATAAGAAAACTTTTTAGACTGATATTATGATGTATACATTGCTTTCGAAAACTTATGCTTTGTTAAATGATTGACTTTTTTGAATCAGTGCTTTCTCCAAATGTTTAATTATTGTTGTTGTTCTCTCTCTTTAAAGGATTTTACAATTGTACAAATGAAGGAAGGTCATTAATTATTTCTTGTTGCTTAATTAAATACAAAGTATCTTTCTGTCTTAATGATGGATTAATATAACATGATTTATTTAAGATGTTAATTATTAAAATGTATAATAAAATTTGGGCATATTTTGAGGACACCTTTTCCTTGCGTCAGTTCATGTACTATTACAAAAAAATTTTTTTCCTATCTATAACATCTATTTGTCTACGATTTTTTCGTTTCCTTTTTTCTCTAATAGTACAACGGAAGAGAAAAACGCTCAAGTTTTATCGAACGATGTTACTGTCTTCTCATTCTGTTTCATTACTAGAAGAAAAAGAATAGACAGATAGCCATTGCGCATTGTAAAAAATATAAGCTTATTACAATAGTTAACAAACTAAGGAAGGACAAATATTTCTTCGAAATGTTTTGAAGGCTTTTATAAGTTTTAAGGATTGCCATTTTAAATATATTATATTGTATTAATTCATCATTCAAACAGGAACAGACAATATATTTTATTTAATTGAACAATATAAAATAGTTAGGGTGTGGATGTGAGTATAAATATGCGTTTTGGTTTGATTGCAGTTGTGAGTGTTAGTGTTATTCTTTTGCTAGACCTCTTCTTGATTTGGACGCACATTTTCACCCAAACTCATACCAGTGGCACTTACCAACAATAACGCTACACAACCACACTAACACCCTTATGTATAATCACATGCACAAAAATTACGCTCACATATCTACGCCGTCTAATAAAGTCAAACATTTGGTCTTCCAAAACTTCAGAAGAGTCTCTTACTGTTCTCTTCTTTTCTTATTAGCTTTTCTGCGCACTCTCTAACGGTAGAAACATACACATACGTAAAATAAATAAGAAAATAAATGAGCGCTTGCTTTTCTGGTTTGTTATTTCTCATCAAAAAGTCACCCCTAGTCTTCACTAACGGTAAGATGTTTTTTTCTGCTATACGACCCTTATAGCCGTTCGAACGAGAAAAGACGTTGTTTGATGAATATGTCTTTTTCTTTTTTCTTTCTTTGACTTATTTATCCTATTGATTGCAGACTTTATTTCTACTAAATTTGTAAACGCACACACAGGTATATAGTTTCAATTTTCAAAAGCAAGAAATAATGAGTCATCAACCTGAAACTTTACAAGTAACAATTGTTGAAGGTCGTCAATTAAAAACCAAAGATACTTTTGGTGAAAATGATGCTTATGCTGAGGTTTATTTGGATAAAGATTATAAGCAACGAACAAAGCTAATTAAAGATTCAAATAATCCGACATGGAATGAAACATTTAGTTTGTAGCGTATTTATATGATTTTTATATTTTTTTTTAATACTGTATATTTAAGTAATTTGAAAAAAGGTCAAGATGAATTAAAAATAGATGTTTATGATGACGACATAGTTGGACGAGATTTGATTGGTTCCATAAAAGTCAATCTCCAGAAACATGTTATTGGTAAAGGTCGTCTTGATCTATGGCTGAACTTTCCAGTCGGCATAAGTCGAAGTTCAAACGGAGCAATTCATGTTATTATCGAACATCATGTAAGAAAGATTTTTATTTTGGAAAAAAATTGAAACTGATTATGTTTTGTTTTTCTATTATAGAAATAAAAAAAAATTGGAACAAAAAACTTCAATGAGAAAAATGTTCTTTCGTTTATTTGATGTTTGTACATTTTTTGCATTTTTAACAATGTATCTCACTAAAAAATCATTGAAACTAACAGTAGAATTATATTTAATTAGTTATGGGTAATAAATAATAATTGAATAGATTTTCCTCTCATTTCAGTGAGAGTCTTTTGGAAGAGAAGAAGACAAGAGTAATTCTATTTTTGAATAAGTAATTGTGCTATTGAACAGAGGATCATAGTACTATTTGTTTACCATATTGTCATCTTCCATATCTTTGAGTTTTTGTCAATAGAAGAAATAAAATCCGGTTTAGCTTAAATACTTCTTATTTGTCTCTTTTGCGATAGCACGGCTGAAAGTTTTTGTTTTCTTGGTACAGATGAAAACACATAAAATAAAATGCTGTGCTGCTAAGATCAAAGTTAAAATGCAAGTGTGGGTTTGAGTGTTGGATCTGAGTAAAATTGTTATGATCCTATCTTTTCCGTAACTATAAGTCACAATGACTGGCACACCTGTATATTCAAACATACTTCCAGCTACTTCTTGCACTTCTCAAATCTCTAACTTTTTGCACAAACATAGCAAAATGGAACTAGCTGGAAATCTAAACTCAGATCAAGGAGCACAATATTTTGTTTATACTTTAGGACGGAATACGAATATCCTCTTCTCTCATTGCCCCTACTCTTCATGTTTCTCATATAGTAATTTTAATGTAGACACTCGTCACACTTGATCTAGAGCACGATTAACTGTGTAGAGGAGTACAATATTGCGTCAATATTCTAGATCACATCACGATTTCTTTTTCATTCTGTCTACTCTTGGCGTCTCTTGTTTTTACCTTGTTACAGACGATGAGGTAGTAGCACCTCGTTTACAACAACATTCTGTTGAAAGTGGCGCAACAGCTGAACAAAAGAAACAGCCGTGTGGCTTGTTGTTTTTAATTTTTTTTCATTCTGTATGTCGGGAATAAATAAATTACCGTAGACATAGTTATTGACGCGCGCACACTGCCAGAGCGGCTCTCTCCACATCATTGATCTCGTCACAATTATAGATATTAGGCATCCGCCTTCGGAGCAAAATCGACGATGATGTCGATATGAACACGAAATATGGAGGATACAGCTCATCGAGAAACACTTGGACTACCAAGAGCTGTTGCGTCGTCATCATTAAAACAGCGATAGTATAATTTTTCCCTAGCAGAATTTATAAATGCAGGCATATAGATGATTTTCTTTTTGTTAAAAGTATTAAAATGATTAAACAAGAGTCGATAATTCGGTTTGAACAGATAAATATAGCATCCTCTACTGATAATATGCAGATCTCTGCTTAGCATTTCGTTTTTACAACACAATTCAGTTAGGCTTCTGTTCCTCGTTAATATGTGTTCATAGCATATATAAGCATTACTTACTGTTACGCTTATTTCCAAACTGAGTTTCTCTAGAGTTTTGATTCTTAACAACATAGTGTTCTTCTTGTACAGGGTAATAGATATTGATGAGCTCGATCTAAGGATAAAGGTGCATTATCTTATGCCACAATTTAATACAGTCTATAGTAATAGTTGAAATCAATAAAAAAGATTACTAAAATCTGCTAATTTACCAATAGTTTTGTCAGAAATCATGAAAATCATTTAGATAGACTTAGAACGGTAGATAATTTATCGTTTGCATGCCTATTTTAATGAAAAAGTTTTAAGACTGAACGGCAGCTCTTTTATATATTATGATTTATTTATTTTAGATATGGATGAATGCGCAGAGTTTATTGATAAATATGAGCAAGTCACAATCCATCATTATCATTGAAAAAATCATTCTACTTTTTCTATCAATATCAACTTATATTTGTGAAAATGTCTATGGAACATACAAGTAGTTATATCTGTTTCTATTTTTAGTTTTTCTAGCTTTAGTTGCTGTAGATGTGTTCTACAAAATTCTACATGTAGTGAAAGATTAATTTTTTTATGTTGCCAGTAGTAAAATTCAATGTCCATTAGGTTTTTAATATAACATCAAATAGGAAATGAGTTAGTAAGATGATTTATATTTATTGTGGATAATAAGGACAAGTTGCACTTTGCATTTCATCTTTTCATCATCTAATACATTTTATTAAAAAACAAAATATACTGCTAGATGCACAACGAAAATCTTTACAATCTATAAAGAAAATCTTATTTTATATGCATACGTTCTTTGATATAGATCCAATTTCCTTTTGATCAATTTCCGATGCTGTGAACAAGATCATTTTTTGGCACACGACGAAATTCGTTTTTTACTTCATCCATTTATGCATCATAGTTTTAAATTTTATTCAGTTGCGTAATATTTGCGATAGAATCCAATTCATAATAAGCCAGAGCATTGAAATCAGAATTGTGTGGTGGCCATCTGTGATTGCTTATGAAATGCATGAAATACTCTTTGCATTATGTTGTTGACTTCATATGTGCATGCAGCTTGGCATTGTCTTGTAAATAGATGAAATTACTGCCGAGCAGCAGTTTGCACTCAAATTGTAGCATGTGGCAGAACAACTTCAACATAAATCGTCTGTGGTAAATTTTTTACCGGGTATAAATATGGCTGGAGACTTGAGGTCGTTTTCAGAATAACTCATTTGAATATTGATAACAAAGAACCACAATAGACTAGTTTCAGTGGCGAAAAAAATTGATAAAAGACCGGAAAAAATACATGAAAACTGGCCAGTTGTAGAAATTCAATCCGATCGAACAGGTAATCAGCAAAAGAGTGGCTTCCGTTCCTAGCTTGTTAAAAGTCACAAAAAAGCATATTTAGTTGAGCCGCAAAGTAGGGCGAAATTTTGACCGATCAAGTTGAAACTTATGAGAATGACTACTAACTCTGAGCTCTATAACGGCTGAAAGTTTTGCGCCAAACTATCTGTGCTTTCTAATTGAGTCAAAAGTGCTTCAAAACTTACGGTAAACCTTTTCAATTTGGCATGTATTATACATAAAGTTCTTCGATTTCAAAGATATGTCGAATTAGCTCTCATTTGAATATATATCTCTGTCCAATTTTTTATTGAGGTTCAAAATTAGTTGTTTGCGTGTTTATTTATGACGAAGTTGCTGTCAAGATATTTATTTTTACATTTCGAATGACATGTTATGAAGGGATGCCGTCAATTTGAATGAAAACCAATCTTGGCAATCAAATCCATTTTCTTCGACTGTTATGAAGCAATACAAATCTTTCCTGTCGACAATTAGTTCTCGATATTCTCTTATCAAGTGACTATCAATTTGTTTTCGATATTTTTAGCTTTACTGTATGATTTATCGAAACTCCATCAATGAAAAGTTTTTTTTTCTATCAATGGAACTAAACAAGATTCGACTCTATTACTGATTTAGTTTATAAAGAAACTTTGTATGCTGCTCGCTTTATAAGGCATCAATCGAAGTGTAAAATAGGTTGATGAACGATAGGAAATCAGTTGAAGAAAGATTTAGTGTGAAACAATTGTTGAAAAACATTTCCATTTGAAATTATGTTTTGTATTTTTCAAGAGTCAAAACTAAGTTCATTTGCACCAGAGCTGCCAACAGGCCAGTTTTTTCAGCCCGGCCTGGTCGCCTGGCCTGACCAGGCCAGTACGAATGGCATGCCAGGCTAAGAATAAGGTGTTTGGTCTGTGGCCTGATCTGGCCTGCTCTGATCCGGCCTGACCTGGCCTGCAAGCTTTTGAGAGACCAGAACAAGTTTATCAAATACTTTGCTACTTTCATGCATAAAATTGTACAATATGCATCAGACTTTTTTTATTATCGCACCCTCGTCGTGGTCACATATTTCTCCTCAATTAAGATGATGAAAGTGCGAACTTTTCCAAGAAATAGAAAATCAAAAGATATACTGCTGAGAAAAAATTGTCTTGCATATTGAGAGAATTATTCCTTCAAAGCCGTTCTACTTTCATCAGGGCTGCTCCATAACAGTGAAAAACATATACTGTGATAAATATAACATAAAAATTGAAAAGTAGCAAACAGTATTAATCCAGGTCAAAAATGTTTGCTGTTTGACTTCGTTGGCTGAACGATGTCCGTTGGATTTTATTATTAGTCAGTTTCATTTTTTATAAAAATACATTATCCTTCCCTATTGAGACACATTCTAACTTAATCATAAGTCAGCACAAAAATGCGAAAACAAGCAAATTAGTTTAAAAGAATCATCTATCCTAAAGAGAATATATAGCCTTTTGAGTTGACTTAAACTCTCAGAGTTAGGTGCCATTTTGAATCTTTATAGTTAATACTGAAATAGAATGGATGTAACAATTGGATATCACTAATGATCATTATTGTCATTCATCGCAGGACACAGTGAGGCGATACATTCATAATTCTGCTTACGAAAAGACTCGTATAAAATGTCGGGAATTGAGGCATGCAACAGGTGTTTGTCTTAAAATTAAAACATGTCATTTTAAAATTTATTAGGAATTTTAAAATTAAAATTCAACTCTAATTACTTTATCAAAGTACTTTAAATCTGCAATGTCACTTCTAATCAGAATGGATCAATGCACGAAAAATTTGACTACATGTCATTCAGGCCACAAATGTCGGCCTGGCCTGACCTGCAGGCCAGGCTGAATCTAATCCGGCCTGGAGCAGGCCAGGCTAAAATCTTAAAACTCGGCCTGGCCTAGTAGCTTGGCCTGGCAGGCTGGCAGGCCGGTGCAGACCAGCAGGCCAGGCTGGCAGCTCTAATTTGCACTGTGGTGATGGATTTGCAACAAAGTTTTGAACAAATCATCAATAAGTCGCGTTGATACAAATAGTTACTCTTCTGAGATTTCGATTTTTCTTATCAAACACAAAGCTCTCTTCGTCAGAATTGTATTATGTACTACAGAAAAGCTAACGTAGACAATCAACCACAATATACCATGCAGAATTTCTAATACAGTTCTTGCGAAACATAAGTGTTTCGTAGGTCTATCATTTATCAAATAGTATGTGTGCAAGGATGAAGAATAAATGAAATGAAAGTAAAATGTTATCGAAATAAAACTATCGCACGATAACAGTATGATGGATAGAAAAAATTTTTGGCTTTGAAACCAAATGAAAGGTTTGTACAAGTAGAAAAAAAGGTACATAATATATTCGGGAAAAGCCGATTTATTTGTATTATATTTGGTTGAAACGATAATACGAATGAACTCTTTTACGTTAGCCTGCTTGGATACATTCATCGCAAAACGTTTAGCAGTGTGCTATAAATTTAATTTATTGCATCAGCTATTGTGTTGATTGAGCAGTGGGTTCTTGCATATGGTCCGTATAGATCGATGCTGAATGTTGCACGTTCTAGTCAGCTGATAAAGTGTAAGATTAGAACGGTAAACTACTCAAAATTCTACTGATAAGTACAAGCCATATTTTGAAGTGTGAAAGAAGCGCACAGAAATGAGTGAAGTGAACTATGAGACAAAGAGAAGAAAAAGTCGTCCAAAGGTCGATATAAAGACATGTGTTCTACTGTTCTTCCACATAGAGTATCTTGCGACACAAACTTTGTTCTTTGTCGCTGATATATCGTTACATCGAAATTTATACACAAGATATACAACCTTCTTTGTGATTTTTCTCAAGATTTTTTTTTTTAAAGAAAGATCATGTTTTTGTTACTCAATATTGCTAGTCTATCCTGTGTCCCATCGTTTCTATCGATAGTTTTTATAGAACCAAGCATCAATGCCAATGAGAAATATATTTAGATTACTGGCTGGGATTCACGATTTAATCATGAGTTACTCATTGAATTCGGTCAACGAGTTTTCAATGTTTTGGTTAGCGTATAAAGTTACAGAATCCCAAGTCGTTGAAAACGAAGGTTCTGTTAAGTAGCGATGATCATCCATTTCAATAGTACCAAACAACATGATGTCCCAAAGGTCCCTTACACTTGAATTTTTCGTATATCTTTGCTGCTTAATTTGACTTTATCAACTATGTATTTTAGATGATAAATAAATACACCGACTTTTTATTTATACGGACACAATGCAGAAGTACTGTTCAAAGGTATTATCTTTAACTGAAATCCAAAAGTTTTTTTTTTCTATTTCCAAGAAAAACTTTGTGCAACGTTCCTTTTTCAATTGCTTCGATTTCTTGATTTATTCTGATCGTTAAATCGTTCAGATCTTTTACATTAGTTTTATAGATATTTATTTTAACAAGATCTCATAGAAATAAATTCAATAGTGTCAAGTCTAGTGACCGTGAATCAATAGGATCGTTCTACTTCTTTCTATCCACTAATCATCAAACTTGTCATTCAACAATGAGTGAACTGTTTTCAAGAGACGGCCTGACATCCCATCCTATTGAAATATAACCTTTTTGGTAATTCTTTTTTCTGTAAAAATGTATACAAAAAAGTTTTTCAGGATGTCAGTGTAATTTTATTGATCAATTACTGATTCCTAAAATAATGTTCTAACAATAAATTCGTTTGATATTCCACATAATACAGTCAATTTTTGGTCGGTTCATTGCGACTTCTACAGTAGTATAAGGATTAGTTTGCCTTCAAACACGACAGTGATGTTTATTAACCATTATCGAAATGTGAAATGTTCCTTTATCTGAAAAAAAGATTAGACCCTTATTATTTTCATCAATAATAATTGGTAACAACATTTTGGTCATATCCACACGTAAATCCATGTTCTCGTCGTATATCTGTTGTGTTAAATGCATCTAGTATGGTCATATCATAAAACTTCACGCATTTTTCCGATGCACCAGTGATTTTGAAATATTTGTTTCACAAAAAATACTGTTGATTACATTATTTGACAATCCTTCAAAAATTTGTTTGATCTTTTCGGCTGTTACTAACGAGGGTCTTCCTGATCGTGCATAATCATGTACGAAACCAATATGAATAAATTTATCATAACTAGCTTCGATAGTCTCCTGTATATGAATATGAGGTAGATTTTTGCGTTGAAAATGTCGTATGGCTGATAATAGGCATTCCAATTTAGCCAGTATGAGGGTAGTATCAATTCTTAACTATAAGTTAACCGACATTTAGTTTTATTTGAGATACACACATCTTCGATTAGACACTTATGATTCAAAAAGGAAAGAACTGCCCTCCAAACATGACCAGCCATTGGTGAAGACCAATATTCGTTATACAGATGAAGTACTAGTCCCATTTTTTGAAAACACTTCGCTCCTGGTTGAATGACAAGATTGATGATCGGTGAATAGAAAGAAGTAGGCCGATCGTATGGGCTTCACGGTCACTAGACTTGACACCATTGAATTTCTTTCTATGAGATTATGTTAAAACAAATGTCTATAAAACTATTGTAAAAGATCTGAACGATTTAAAGATCAGAATAGGTCAAGAAATCGAGGCAATAAAAAAGAATCATTGCACAATAGTTTTTTAGGAATAGAAAAAAATTAAATCTTTGTACTTCAGTTAAAGGTGATACCTTTGAATAGTACTTTTGAGTTTTGTTCGTATAAATAAAAGCTGGGCGTATTTACCAATCATCAAAAAAAAACAATAGTGAATAAAATCAAACTAAGCATCAATGATATACGAAAAATTAAAATGTAAAGGACTTTTGGGATACTTTCTAATTATTTGGCGTTAGGGAATAAGAAAAAAATGACACACAATGGCAGATTCACAATTTTAGGAACAAGTAAATGATATAAAATAAAACTTGACTGGTTGTTCAAATCAGTTGGAAAAAGAGTGGATCTGTAGTCTCCTACTAATTATTAGTACAAAACGATGCGTAAATCTTACAAAATCTTATAGGGTGACGCTCTATCATCAAGTAATAACAAGCAGCCATCTGTTGCACGAGCCCGTAAGAATTTATGCTAGATCTTACCATTTCATTATGTAACTTCAACATGCCGTCATTAGGATAGACCATTTTTATAACACGACTTAATTAAAATCAATATTAAGTATCGTTATTTAACGCGGACGTTAAGTTTAAGCGATTGCATCGGACAATTTTCAATTTTTCACGATGCCACTACAGACAAAACATAGTTTTGTCTGAACTATTGAGGACAGAACCTTCGTAAAAACTCTCAGTCAGCCTGATCAACATCATAGTTTTTCGTATTGGAGTAGAGAAAAAGTCACAGTTGTCCAACACAACTACTTAAACTTAATTTTCAGTGAGTTAACTGTTAAGTGATTTGTTGACGCTTAATATGAAGAAATTAAGCGGTGACTACTAATCTCTTTGTATGAATATCAAGTGTTAAGAAATGATTCTTAAATCCATTTTAAGTGAAGATAAATGGACAACCTCTAATATTTCATCCGCTCATGATACTGCAATCAAATAAAAAAATGCATCTTTCTCATGCTTGTATTCTTATTTATAGATTATTATGATTGTTATTATCATTTCCATTATAATATTATATTTGACTTATTGTTTATATCAACATTTTTTTTCTTCATCTAAAATTAATCCAAAGGGTAAATATGTTCTCATCAGTGGTTGTGACACTGGTATCGGTCATGCATTAGCAATGAAACTTGACCAACTAGGTTTTAACGTTTTCGTCGGGGTTCTAATTCCGGATAATTCAGCATTATTAAAAGCAAAACTTTCATCGAGAGCAACTGTCTTTCGTCTGGATATTACCAAACAAGAAGATATTGATGCTGCGTATAATTTAGTCAAAAAAACAACTAACACTCTCCATGCCTTAGTAAATAACGCTGGAATTCTAACACACGGTTGTATCGATTGGACTTCAATGGAAATTATGCGTAAACTCATGGATGTGAATTTCTTTGGACATGTTGCCATGACAAAGAAGCTTTTACCTTTACTCATCGCTAAGTGTGATTCGCGTATAGTCAATGTAGTGTCTGCCGCTGGATTCTTTACTTTTCCCAATACATCCGCATACTCAGCATCAAAATATGCGTTGAAATCTTTCTCGGATTGTCTTCGTCGTGAAATGGCTTCATGGAATTTACGTGTCAGCATAATTGAACCAGGCGCACTGCGAACGCCCATGATGGAAAGGTACGAAGATACTTTGAGAAATGTATGGAATGGACTTCCAAGTGATGTTCAAGAACGGTGGGGAATCGATTATTTAAATGGCATTATTACAAAGGCGATCAATAGTCCATTTATGATCAATGCTGATAATCCTTCTAGAGTTGTACGAGCCGTTCAGCATGCGGTGATGAATCCTAAACCTCGTATTCATTATCGACCAGGTTGGCAAGCCAAAGTGATTTTTTACATCTTTTATCTGGCTCCTACTTGGTTAAGCGATAAATTGCTAGTCAAAGCGATAAATTTTGTTCCCAGTGGGGTACAATCTCAACTTTTGAACTAAAAGCGAATCTATATCACCATGATATTCATAGTTTTTTGTCAAAACGATTTATCAATCCTTGATAAATCAGTTTAGTGCAAGTTGATTTCAAAAATATTCTTTTTTTCTTCGCGTAATCCTATGGTTATTAAATTGTTAAACTCAGAGTTTTAATCAGTAATGATAAAAGATCGGTTCAGTAAACGATTTCTCACTGGTAGATAGAGATAGCTTCTTCTATACCAGCCAGTTTGAACTTTTTAAAGCTTTATGTTTTATTCTGAAAAATTGCCGCTAAAATTGTTTTTTTTTTCGCTAATCAAGCAATCTTGACTGACATTGACGATAATCTCCATGAAGACACGTGCATCTGACAATGTTATTCAGTGAGACTCATTACACCATACTTAATATATTATCTTAACACACATTGATATCAAGTTATGTTACCGAAACACAAGCAAATAATTATTTAGTAATGCAGTTTTTCATCGATTGATTTGCACTACCTACTATGAATAGCATAGGGTGTATGTTGGTGTGAATGTAGCTGTATAATGCTGTTGGTCACTCGAACACACTTATAGCCTCTTATTTTTCTTTTTTACTCTGTTTCAATCTGTTGCAGATGTTTTTATTTCATCTAAACCTTGTAGACAATCGAGTTAGTGATGAATGAGCACCGCAACTCAGTAGAAACTCAAGTTTAAACGGAAAAATCGTTGTGTCCTTTTGAATTTTAGCTTGATTTATGTTATAAATAGCTTCTGATTTCCACAAGCCACTTAGAATGTATCATCATGAACTGATTTTAGCTTTGTTATTAACAACTTGTCTAATAAAGATATAAACGAACCATTTCTGTTTTCATGATTGACTATATGAAATGAAGCAAAATGAAGCCAGAGCAGTCAGTACTGTTAATTATCTTAGTATACCAAAACGGAGAACATTTGTGTAGATCATAGGCTATTGGAAGTATAAAAAAACATATTAATATATTCGAGTTTTTTAAGTTTTTTTAAATGCACTAAGATTCAGTGTACGATTCGCACTGTGCTTTATATACCTCTTGTTTATAATTCTAAAAGAATTTACAAAGCTAAAAGCTTATAAGATTGATTTTTGCACAATTAAATATGTATGATAGAATTGAGATTCATTTGTTTCATTAAAACATTGGTGTATGTCGACCATTCAAGATTCGATTAAATTTTAAATATAATTGATGTCTTAGACATGAATTTATCTAAGTAGTATATCGCGATTCTACTACCAGAAAGCATTTAAGATACCGAGCGAATTCAGTTTGGTTGTAATTGAAATGTCGTCCGTTCAATCAGAAAAAAATTGTTGCAAGTTTATGCAAATAAGTTTTGAGCTTTCTTGGTATTGTTCCCAATTAGCATTGCTTTAGACATCATATTTTGCCTCTGTGTTCGTCAATAGCTTCAGAAATGAAGCTGTCATTCACCCTTAATTAAATCTCTGCTCAAGAAACCAACTTATTCAAAAATCAGAAAGACTTCACGAAACTGAACAACTCTATATTCTGTATTTCTTGAAGTCGTCTTGGAATCATACCAAGATCATGCTTTATCATATCTGAGGCATTATATCAAACTAATTGCGAAGAATTTGATCGTTTGAAACACTACAACAACATTAGATTGAGTACTCTCACATATCGTTAGAGAGATCTTCTTCTACAACATAATGGCAGTAGATCGATTTTTTCAGCGGGTTAGTGTAAAGTGGGAAATAGCATGGAATAGCTATGTGTAATCTAATGAGCACTGGTGTATGAATATGAGATATTATTTTGCAAACAAAGTCAATCCAATTTTATAGTGAGCTTGTTGTGTGACAGTAATCGAATGGTCAAACGGAGTTCCTGGAGACCAAGCTAGACACTCTACATATTTTGCCTTGATTTCAAAGAATTATCTATTCTGTTCAAACAACTCAAAAATAATCTTTTATACAATGTAAGGTTAATATATTCATAAATTCTTTCGTCAGCTCGATCATATTCTTATTTTTGCATAGTTACTGAACTTCGATCATTTTTAGAGCCTTTCAGTAAGTTCGTCTTGTTATATACATCATAAAACATTGTCAAACCAGAATATTTCGTATAAATGCAATCATGAATTTGTTACTTTACTTAGAAATGAAATGAATAGACTACGAGATCAACCATCTTTCTGCTTCACCAATATAAGATAGATAGATATAGCTAAATGAAGGAATCACCTAAAAAGTCAGCTCACTTTTCAAACTGAAAAAACAACTTCGGCTTCTATTTCCACATTGCTGAAAACTTCAACAAATATCACAACTATTACTGAAAAAACAATCAGCTTTTATTTCTATAAAGATTTGTAAAATAGTATTTTTCGTAGACTCCCTTCTCAAACAGTAACTCTGATGGTACTTTGTATATATCGATGCAATCGAAAAGAAAAGGTTATCCTATCATTCAAATGTTTTGTCAAGGTGAGAAGAGAATTTCTAAAGCTGCCACATACTTCTATCAGACTAAGTTTTAGAAAACATGTTTTAATAAAGAAATCGAATGTTTTTTTTAATATGACAATCTAAGTTCTCAGCGAAAATATATGCAAATACTCTGAGTGGGTCATAAGGGTAAGACTTAATAGAAATATTATGAATGCAACCTTCTCTACGCACATGATCAAGCACTGTCACATGACAAAGTTATTAAATTGTATTTAGCGATTAGAAGAAATGATAACCTGATAAAAAATGATGTGCCTGCTTTTCAATTTAGTACTCACATATTGTGTATATCATTTCGAAAGTGTGCTGCAATCCAGCGCAGAATGCCGTAAAAAGGGTCGTTTGCACATGAGCAACAAAAAACGGTGAAACAATATTACAGAGAAATAACATTAACATGAATAGATATATATGCGTGTCGCGAAAAAGTAAGAGGTCATAACAATAAAAATAAATGTAAAATTGATTATCACTTGTTCAATACAGTTTCTATAATGACTGTATCAGAAGAATATTGTCTACTTGCTCAGGAATGAAATTTGTTCATGATTGGTTCATGATCAAACCGGCGTGTGGAAATTTGCATTCCACGCTACTTGATATCGTTAGAATGAAACAAATACGTTTCCCTATTTTTGATAATAATGGAAATATTTTACAATGAGATTTCCAAAAATCTAACTGAATATTTGTAACTAACAACTTTTTTATTTGCATAACTAGGTATCTGTTCAACTCGCCAGATTAATCTATATTAAATTCGTATTCATCAGTTTCATATTCATGAGCCTCAAGTTTGTCTTCTAAAGCGTCTTATGAATAATTATCTTCAAAGCGAGAACATGACGTAACAATTGTTTAAAATTCTTCCAGTTGCTGTTCAAAAGTTTCTTCTAATGTTTCCGTTGTTGAATATGTATTGCATAATAGCTTTAGTTGTGCACGAACACGTTTGTGATATTGTCAACGTTCTTCTACTCTACAACCTTTTACTGATCGATACTTAGGATGCAATATGGTTGCAGAATAATGACAAACATCAAGAACAGATAGCTTGCCGACTAATTTCAACATGCGTTCATGGAACCTTGTAATACTTAAAGCAAACCTGAGTTTACACAAAAGTTGTTTAGTACAAACATAAAGAATATTCACTTATAATTCAACAATATAGTAACAAACAACGATGACGATGATTCAAAAAGAATTTTTACTAAGAACTATTGCATCTAGTCAATAAAAAAAAAAGAATAAAGTGTAAGGTTCAAAACTGAATATTATCAAAACTATAGCAAGTAAATCTTTTCACTTGACAGAATATTTTACTTTAAATTTTTTTCTTTTATATAAATATTCCAATTCACTGTTCATTTTTTGTTATTCGTTACTGTCAATTTTGTTTTCATTTGAGCCACGGTAAGGGTTTTTAATAAACTAATTATTCATCAGACAATAAAGAAACTTTTAACATGAGAGTGGATAAAAAAATCCATATATAATGACGGTCAATTTCCTGTTCGGACAAGTTTTATGATGTGTTTTAACTTTTTTTACAACCAGAAGTAGATATTTGATTGTTGTTTCATCTGAATCACCGGTTACTGGTGAATTTCTCGTAGCTAATAATAATTGTTAGGTAGTATTAAACGTTTTTAATATACTCTAGAAAATTTGGCAAGAAAAATCATCTGATAATACACGATTAATGTAATGTGCCAGCATCTTCTGCTTTGACATCGTTGTTGATATAAATTAATGTGAAATACAAATAATCTAAGATTCACATTTACCTTTTTTCAGGCAGTTGGCAATCTTCGTATGCATATTCAAAACTTGAAGGACAGAATTAACTAGTGATAGAATTTGATCAGCGGCAATTTTCATCTGAGAAAATGATAACTCATTTTCCACAAATGCAACCTTTCTTGGAGTTTTTTTTCAAATAACAGGTTGAATAGACGTATTATAGCAGGCATTAGTAGAGGATTGATGATTATCATTAACATGACGACCAAGTATTGTTTTTGCAGTTGGGTTTACACAAAGTGTATCCGTGACAGTGGCTACAACAGCTGTAGTAGCACTTTTTTTCTTTTTCTTTTTCTTTCGAAAAACGGATATTTTAACAATATTTTGTATTCGATGTCCGACACTGAAAATCTACTCGAAAACTTTGGAAGCAAAAATAGAGTTTACTATTTTAATCACAGAGAAAATTAACATCAGTCAATAAATCGATTCTATAAAATTCTGCATACTTTTAAAGCGCCTAAAAATATCAAATACGTGTGAATTCTGTCATGTAAGTCGATTAAACAAGTCTTCGATAGACCATTTAAGCTTTTATTATAAGTCAATGTTTGCAACAAATATTTCTACATCAATGAATCTTGATGAATTTATTTTAAGAAAAAAACTTCGCATCAAAAATAGATAGACGATTCTTTTTATGTTTCCCAGGCGTATATACAGATATTCAACCATTTTGTTTCACCTTATTGAATCTTAAACAGCTGTAATACTTCAATGATATTAAATGTATCATATATAACTTCTAATAAGACAAAAATGACGATTATGGCTTATATATACTGTGACTTCCTATCCAAACAAAGACATTCTTCTGATGAATTGTTAAAACAAGAATAATATAATATACTAAATGGTCTAACATCTCTATAAATCCACTGCTAAGACAATTTTTTTATCCTTATAACATCTTTATGGATAAATTTTACACATCTTTTATTACTAAATCTCATTTAATTCAAGATCTTGTGTTTTAATGAAGCTTAAGCTATATTAAAACTAATTGGCGATAATACTATGGCGTTTAATAAGGGAAAACATCTATCAGCATGTTGTTTAAGACGTTTTCTACCATTTAGTTTATTATAAAATTGAGTATTTATGTACATAAGACAACTAATGGAAGCAGTAAGTTTTTGTAATTCATTATTGTCATTCAACTATGCTGGATAGTCAAAGGTTCTCCGCCATTCAGCAACAAATGAAGTTTCGTTTTTATTATTTGATATTTAGATTTTTCATGGAATAAAATTTGTTCGATTGTCTTGGAATAAGTTATATCACCCAATGATGTCATAACATTGCTAGGTGATGAAGTTGTAGATGTTCGGTGTTCTGAAAAACTGTGTTCACATCTAGAAATATAGCACAATAGCAGATTTATACACTAAATTAAAAAAGGCTGTAACTTGTTTTCTTATACATTCGTAACTTATGCCGCAATTTCTCATTTTCTATTCGTCCTTGTCTTTGTACATGTAAGCGGAATTTTACTCGATACAAATTATAAGAATGGTTGCTGTCACTAACACTGATAAAAATTTTCTCGATCAAGTTATAATGATATTTATTGTAATTGCTCAGAATATCACGATATTGACTAAAAAATCTTTCTCAAACGCCTGTTTGAAGAAAAAAGTAGCAGCACAAACTATTTTCTCTCCCTTGTGACGATCTCTCGTACAAAATATATAATAAAATATTTTCGATATTTGCACGATGCTTTGTTTGCTTTTGCATGCTTTACACGTAATTTCGCCTACATAACTGTCTTCGAAAGAAAATATTTTACTTCATCACAAATATAAATGAGTGTCCTTGATTCAGACAAAGTAAGGGAAAAGTAATGATGCGGAAAGACTGTAAGCTATATCTCATACAAAAATCAGAACGAAAGAAAATTGCGTGCTCACATTATTTTAGTTACATGCACAACGTCCGGTGATACTACATGTGAATATTAACACACTATCACAGCGGCAATAAATATCAATTGATAAGAATTTGTTGATTTTCCAGACGATCTAACCCTAAGACGGTGAGAAGTTTACTTTTCGGTATGTAAACCTACGTTGAACAAGAAACATTGTGAAAAGATCTGAATCTACTGACACCTGAATATTTTCGTATAATTATAAAATATCACATTTAGCCTTATAACAAATGTATTTTGAGCAATGCAAACGCTTATCCAACATCATCATCTTCATAAGTAATTAGATATTTCATCAATTGAGAAAAAGGTTTTTTAAGTATATTTAATTCTGACATCGGTTGTAAATTAGATTTGCCATTAGACAACTTCATATTCATTTTGTCTATATCTAACTGGATTTCTTTGTGCGTTTATTCTTATTTATACAATTGCGAAAAAGAAACGATTTTTTCCGATGCTCATAAATCGATTTGGTTAAAACGCATACAATTCTTAGCATATTTTTAAAAAATTGGTCATTTATTTTATAGATAGTGGCGTGGAATCGTTCATGATTAAAGATTGAAATAAATGATCACCGTTGTACTACGAACTTGAATGCATATTCATCACACTTTTCTTGTCACAGCAAAAACATTGTTTTTTCATATTCATGATATTGCTAATCTTAGTAAGCTTCTCCCAATAACATCGAAGCAATCAATAGTTTTCTTCTTCCTGTAATCTCTTATTTCTTCATCTACATACGTACGTATGTAAGAAATTATCTGCCTTTCAAATGAAGTATAAAGTGCACAAATTTATAGTGGAAACAAGCTGTATTTTGTCTTCTTTTCTTCACAAAACATAGTCCAACTACTGTAGTATAAAATTCTAAGGCCAATTTACCATCACCTGTACAAAAATATCTACTTGATGAATTAGTTGCTCACATGAAATTGCACCTACTTATAAGCGGATCAAAAATACGTATTGATAATCAATGTGAAAGATCTATATTTGAAAAATGTTCAAGATTAGAGCATGAAATAAAGTTTTATTTTTCTATAGGTTCACTATTTTGGCGTGTCTGTAATAACCAACCTTATGAAATTCGTACAAAGCCTTTTTCATTCGGATATTAATGTGTCTAACCATAAATCTCGTACTCTTCCTTTGCTAAATATCATTGATAAGTACGGCAGAACATTTCACTTGTCATGGATCGGATTCTTCGTTGCATTTCTATCGTGGTTTGCCTTTCCACCTCTTATTCATGGTGTTATTCAAGAAGACCTTCAACTTACTCATGCACAAATAGGAAATTCAAATATAATGGGACTACTGGCAACTTTTCTGGTACGTTTCATCGTCGGTCCTTTGTGTGATCGGTATGGTCCTCGATATGTCATGGTTGGTTGTCTTCTCATTGGGGCTATCCCAACTGCTTTAACACCATTTATCAGCAGTGCTTCAGAATTGATCGCAATACGATTTTTCGTCGGTATTCTAGGAGGAACTTTTGTTCCATGTCAAGTCTGGACAAGTCAATTCTTCGACAAAAATATTATTGGACTAGCAAATGCTTTAACTGCAGGATGGGGCAATGCAGGAGGTGGCGTTACATTTTTTCTCATGCCAGCAGTTGTATCTTCGCTCATGAACAACCATGGCATAAGTCAATATTGGGCATGGCGAATTGCTTTTCCAATGTGTCCACTAGTGATTATTGTTTGTGTTGCCATCGCCACTCTTGTCTTTGGACACGACACTCCGAATGGACCATGGAACAGTCGAAATTTGCACCAAGACATTAAAACAGATTGTACTCAAGTGCTTAATGGAGCTGAGCTTCCGGTTAACAATGACGAAAGTATTGCAATGACTGAAGCATCTTCTCACTTAAAAGATGAAGACACAAGCTTTATTTCTCATCCAAAGACTGCAATAGTCACTGACATATCAGATAGGCCTAATGAACTGAACAATACTCGAATCGTTGCAATTAACGATGAAATAGTTCGGGCACCATCAGCTATAGATGTATGGAAAATTGTCTTTTCATCACGCACTCTACTGGTTGCACTTCCTTACCTGTGTTCATTTGGTTCCGAACTTGCTGTCGAAGGAATTATTTCTGATTTTTATATTCAAACCACAAAAATTCAAGATGGAATCGTTTGGAATTCCCAAACAGCTGGAAACTGGGCTGCTGTCTTTGGGCTTTTGAATATTGTTACTAGACCTTTGGGAGGATATATTTCTGATGTACTGTATCAACATAAAGGACTTAGTGCGAAGAAATGGTGGCTAATCTTTCTTGGAGTTGTGCAAGGTGTCTTCTTCATTTGGATTGGATTTGCAAAATGCAAGATTTACTATTTGATTATGTTCATGACAGGTCTAGCAATATTTATGGAGGCAGCAAATGGAGCCATTTTTTCTTTAGTTCCTGCTATTCATCCAAAATTTACGGGTATTGTTTCAGGTGTAACTGGGGCATCTGGGAACGTGGGTGGAATTTTGTTCAGCTTAGCTTTTCGATTTCTTGGAACTGATTATCAGACAGCTTTGTGGATTATTGGAATGGTCTGTTTAGGTTCAAATCTTGCAGTTATCTGCATACCACTGCAATAACCTGAAAAATAATTAAGAACCGTTTTGAAATAAAGAAGTCCATAGAAGTAGATTTACAAGCCATCATTTTTCTTTTATTTCAAATATTTGTCAGTCTCACAAAATAAGGATAAACCAACATAGAGTGTTACAAAGATTGAATGTAGTTTGCACCACATGTCATTTGATAAAGGAAATTGAAACAATAGTTATGAACATAAACAAAACAAGAGAAATCCTACAAGAATACTCTCTCTGGTCTCGATTAGTTTCATAATATAACAGGAGGTTTTAAGTGACCTTTATAGAAAGCCTTTTTATTACTGAGAACAACTATGAGAGATTACCAAAGATTTGAACTGAATCGAATCGAATGGAATGGAAATGCTTTTGTTTGGCTTGTGCTCTAGATCACAAATTCATCAGATAAAATAAACAAAAAGAAGCGATCAAAAACAGAGTAAGTTGAAATACATTCATTGACACCTTGATAAATACTAACAAACTACCGATCATTTTTTATCTTATAAAAAAAAACAAAATAGACTACTAATTATCATCTTTCAGTTTTTTTTCTGAACGAAAGTTCTCATCATCCTTCTTGGACAGCCATTAGGTAACAGTTGAACGCAATAAATCAAAAAAAAAAGAACCGAACAAACATTGTTTGCTATGAAAAATAGCCGAGGAATTCGAAACAAAAGAATAACGGCTCGAACTTTCAGGTGTAAATGTGTGACTGACACTAATTAAACTGGTTTAATAATGATATTTGAAACTGATAATTGATTCAAATAAGTCTCGCAGACACAAAAGAGAAGAATAGCTATTTAGAAATTATAAAACAAGCTCATCGATTTGTTGTAAACAGATTTGCTAGTTCAAATGTGTAACCAAATGAAGTAAACGAATACTATGATTTAGATATTCTTTGCCAAGTTCAATAGTTCTTCGATAGTTGTTTATTTATATTTTCATAATCATATTTTGATATTATAAGTTTAATGACAAAAACATAGTTTAGTTCTTAGCAGTATATATATATCTGAAAAATTATGCATATTTGGAATAATCTCTAAATTATTGAATGGTTTCCCCCTACTATTTTTCTTTGCATTTGTTTTAATTTATTCTGTCCAAATATCGTTTTATTTTCAAACTTCTCGGCTAATTTTCATGGCGATACGTGTTTGCTCATTCATCTTTAATTTCATGCACTCATTGTATGAAATTCCAATCTTTCAAGCGTCAATTATATCATCTTGCTCGAGTTCATTAATATCGAACTTCTATAAATAACTTTATTATATAAAATCTACTTTCTACTTAATTTTTTGTTTAAAAAAATAAATGATCTGTAAATATGTATGAACAGATCAAATATAGAAAAGGTGATTAGAACCGGGAAATAGAGAATTAAGTAGTTTTCTCAGAGAGAAATGTGAGAAAGCAAGTAGTATATAGCATGTATGAAAATCAGTATAACACTTTTTCTGTAACAGTGTGAGTCGAATTGAATCTATTAGAAATTTTGAAAAAGTAAGTCAAATCGAATGAAGACAGGTAGAAGCTTGGCGGAATCGAATCTGAACGCAGGTCTTTTTTTTTCTTTCGATCTTTGCTTCTGAAACGTTCTTAGAAAGCAGATTTTCGTACTACAGGAACCAATTATTCTTGAACAAACTCAAACGCATTTCTAGACGACAAAGTGTCACTATCGATGCGAAGCTCGTTCACTTCTGTATTTTTTCATAGGTATACATCAGATGAAGAAAAGAAACTTCATTTTCTCATTTTCTTCGCCTATTTGCTCCTTCTGTTTTTTTCATAAATTTATTTACGTTCTATCTTGTTACAAACTAATTACCACAGATAGCTCAGATATTCACTTCACCTTTTGCTTATATTGGGCATCAACATACGATTCAGTTTATGTAATGTACATTTAAATTCAATATGTAAGAAAAAAGTGTTCAAATTAGATAAGTTTCGTTTTTCAAGAAAATACTTCAAACTAAAAGAAAGATTGAAGTACTCAGTGGTACGTTTGGTAATGGCGAGCTCTTGAAAAAAAATTATCATTGACTATGGTGGTGTGATCATCATGTGAACAATACAGAAGAAGATACAAGCATCAGAGCTGGTAGTCAAAGATGAGGGCAGCACAATTTTATTAATTGTTCTTCAATACAAGCTTTTGATTGAGAAAATTTATTGCTAGTACGAATATTCAATGAGAGATATTTAACACAATCGAGTTTGTCACATACCGGGAAAGTAGTTGTGCACCATTAACACCCACGTGATTTATATGAGAAATCGCTTCATTCTAGAGAAAAAGCAAAGTGATGCCGATGTAGAGACGTCGCTTGTTAATGTCGGAGTCAAATTAGAACATCTGATAATTGTCAGACTTCGAAGCATATTGTTGTTGTTTCGACGTAAATCGCATCTTTATATTTCGATACTCTGGAACTGATCCCAATGAATGTGAATTTATCACTGAAAATCAAATAAAAAAATTCAATCATCATAGTTCAGTTTGTAACTTTCTAAGTCTGAAGAACTCATTAGATAATTTGTGATTTGCCACTTTCTTTCAGCGATCCCTGAACTAATCATAGTACTCAATATCCGTTCCCTCTCGCATTCTTATTGGCATTGTAAATGTGTATAATTAATTAAATTCTCTTTTTGTTAATTAATTAATCGATTATAATCAAATTACAAATTAGATGGATAATAAATTCATATCTATTTGCTTGTTCTTCAAAACTGTTTTGACGGATTTCTTCCTCTTTCGTCATTCTGTTTGTCTTTAGATGGAAACTAAGTGTACATTTAAGTATGAATGTATCTGACAATTTTTTTTAATGGTAACACAGAATGACAAGATGAAAATTAGAGATGATGCTACCTACGTGTTTTCATCTTCTGTTTCACTATTAGTAAAAACAAAACAAAATACAGGCAGACATGTAAGTAGTAATCTGTACACTTAATCATCATGTAAAGGTAAACTAGCTAAAAAAGAAAGAAATTTCCCGAAACGTTTTCGCATAATAAATAAATAAATATTAACTAAGAGGAAAAGAATTCGATTACTATAAATATTTACATGAAACATATGTAAATTGTTAACAACCGTCTTCATCGGCATATACTTTCGCTCTGGATAGGTCTCTCCTGATCAATAAGAGATCGCACCCATTACAATAAACAATATATATATGAACAGAATAGAAATACATATACTGATTTCTCAAAACAAAAACCATTGCTTTGAATAAGACAGATTTCCAAAAAAAATGAGAATTTGAATGCGATCATGTAATTCAATACATTAACTGAATCATTTCTTTATCATTTCATCTTGTAAATAAAAACGTTTTTCAAAAGACATTTTCGTATATTCGTTTCTTTCTGTGATATAGTATGTTGTTTTCGTCAATGTTTGTATTGAAGACACTGTAAACAAGTGTCTCTATGAATATTTTGTCCGTTGATGCATGGTAGACTAAGTAGAAATTGAACTCAATGAAAAATATCTTTGCCAGCAAAGGCTTAATAAGTTAGCGGAAACAATCAACAAAGTTCTCAAGGCTGCTAGTGTCCTGATATTTGGAATCAACTAAATGAATTGTTTAAAATCATAAAGATTTCAAGAATAGACAGATTAATCAGTTTGGAAGTTTCAATGGAAGTAGATTGACAAGAAGCAATATTGTAAACTATAGGGTGTCCCAAAAGTCGTGTCCACTTAAAAAATGCGTATAACTCTCTTATTAATAAAGCTTTCTTTAATCATTTGTTTTTTATTTAAAAGAGATGACTAGTGAGTTTTTACCAAGGAGGTAACCACAGCACCTCAGCACCAGATTTTGCTTCAAGGTGCCGAAAAATTGCTCAGATGCTGAAAAGGTCCTGAGGTGTCGAAGGTTCCAAACCTGCACTTACCCACTTGGTTTTGATGTGTAGGTAATTCTTTTGCAAGTTTTTCTGCAGTATCAACAATTATTTTTGTTAAAGTTTCATTTATTTGATTTAGATTAATTTCTTCGGTGTTGATTTTTGTTATTATCCTTCGATCGATTTTGGTTTCAAATTCTTTTCTCTTTGTTTTGAGTATACCATTGTTTATCTGTGGTTTCTTTTTAAGGATTAATTTTCTTCTTTCATTTGTAGTACTAATGCTTATTTTTCCTCTTACCATTCTATGGTCGCTTCCTGTTTTGATTGAATTTAGAGTTTCAGCATTTTTGAAGATATGCATTTTATTGGTTAGAATAAAATCAATTTCATTTTTTACAGAGCTGTTTGATCCTCTCCAGGTCCATTTCCTATTTGGTTTTTGTAGAAGAAGCTGTTTGTTATTTGTAGGTTGTTTTTCAGTGCAAAGTCAATCAACATTTTTCCTCTGTTGTTTCTGTCTCCTACTCCAAATTTTCCCATAACTATTTTTTTATTGTCTTCTTTGTTTCCAATCTTTGCATTGAAATCACTCATTATAATGGTGAGATAGATTTTGTCTTCTTTTCACAAATGTTCAATGTCTCGATAAATTTCGATGGCTTCTTGATCTTCATGACTTGTTGTTGGTGCATAAGCTGGGATTATTTTCATTTTGTATCTTTGATTTATTTTCAAAGTTAGTTGGACTACTCTTTCATTTATGTCTTTTATACTTGTTATGTTTTTTTCTATCTTTTTATTTATTACAAATCCTAAACCGTTTTTGTTGTTATTGAGGTATCCACAGTTATAGAGGATACGACCGCTTTTTAATTTTGTTAAATGTTCACCTTTGCATTTTGCTTCACTTAATCCTATAATATCCCATTTTCTTCTTAATATTTCTTCTTCAAATTCTTTCCTTTTTCTTCTTCTTTGAATGTTCTTATGTTGTAGGTACAGATATGCATATTTATTAAGTTTGGAGAGCTGTTGCTTGGTTTACTATTATTTCCTGGTTTGCAATTGTTCCTAGATTTGTTGCTGTAACTTGATTTGTTGTTGCTGTT